CTACTTTGCCAAAGGTGGCTCAAAAATGTCTTCCCTAGTCTGTCTATCCTAACGATATCCCTTCCCGCCTTTTCAACCCACCTCCTATGCCCCAGTACAGCTACCGTCCTTTCCTAGGGGGGGTGCATCACACAGACCCCCCACGACACCTGCTTTGGGCGCTGGAAGCACCCGACGGTGCACAGCAGCGCACCACAAAGCAGCACAGCACAGCACAGCACAGCACAGCGCGTGACAGCCTAGCACAGCGCCTCACACGCTCAGACCCGGTGCTTTGTTGTCAGCGCGGTGCGCCCGACATGGGGACCGGCGACGATCTGTTGGAAGCAACAGTGCTGTCAGTCGCGTTGGCGGCTTTGCACCAGATCCAAGAGCAGGATGGTCGCCGGCGCACAGCACGCTCGGTATCCTATTGGTTGGGATGCTGTGTTGTTCGTGCGCTTGATCACGGAGCACGCGTACCAGATGGCCGCGTTCTGAAGGATGTTCACGTTTTTGGCTGTCGCCTTGTCGCAACCGAGTATCGACCGCAGCAGCGCATCGGAGTAGTTGTTCGCGCCTTGCAGCAGCAGTGGTTCCACTAGCGGCATGATGTTGCGTCGTCTGGCGGGGGTGTAATCGTGAACCCCCCCCCCCTGTTTTTAGCGTTTCCAATTCCGTCGATCCGTAAGAAGGCTGCTCTATTTTTGAGTGAGATTTTCCGAGTTGGATCTGGGAATTAAAAATTTCAATTTTTCAACTGGAATTTTTCCAAACCGTAAGAAACCGCCTGAGGCAGTACTTGTTGGAATCACCTAGTCACACAAGCTTCTGACCCAGTAAATTAAGGTTCTGTTCGGCCAAACAAATGACTAAAACTAGTTGCAGCATGTGAAAGTCTGTTAACAGAGTACGGTATAACAATCAGCGTCGCTTGGTTGCGTCAATAGTTATGAGCATACTTCGGACACATAATACTCCACCCACCGTCGCAACACTTTAAGGGTGCGACATTTGATCCCATCTCATACGGCAGCAATCCTACAGCCTAGAGGGAGCGAGCCTGTGTCCTGAAAACCACCCAAACAGCACATCACCATGTCCCGAAACCAAGAAACGATCATGGGTTATGCATGATGCACTCTACAGCAGCAATATGCCGCCACTCGACAACAATCACCAGCACACAGCAGCTGGCCTGGCCGGGTAAACAAAACCCACAACCAACGTCCCTGGCGAATATTCGACTACGCGTCAACGCATACATTCTGTAGATACTTGTAAGGGAGATGGGCGTGCCATCACTACGAGAATTGCTCTATGCATATATCATCGCCGAGCAATGGAGACAGGAGACAGACAGGAGACCAAGTGTCGCATCATCTCCCCGCGCGCCTGAGAACTAAGCAAGCGCGAATGTGGCTGATTGCGTCTTGAAGATATTGTCGGCGGTGGTTGGATTCTCCATCGTACAGCATGGATCGGATAAGTTTGGGAATTCAGCCAAGACCACAGGGTAGCTTCGAACCAATACAATAGTCCTAACAAAAAAGGTATCTACATTTAGCATGGTCGACAGAATGATGATGTGTGATCATTGTTTTCAGACGAGCACATGCAGCAGACGGTAACGGGTAGTCCATATTGTCCTTGTTGTAGAAATCGATACATTTTTGTGTTTACGCCAGAAGCTTTCCGTTCTTCAAGCTCCACATTTCCAGCGGGCCACTCATAGGCCAGCGTTCCGAATTTTCGGGCTCTCACAGGTCGCCATTTCTCCCATCATTTTCACTTAGACTTAGACTGAGTGGATTTTTTTCTGTCTTTCCAGGATGTCTTCCGGTGTTAACCGGTATCACTCACACTCGCTCCACAGCAGCCGCCCTCGCAGCTGTATACAGGCGGTGCTTCCCGACAGAGTGCGTACGAGGTCAGGCGACGGCTCTCGCTTTCCTTTGTCTGTCTCTCGGTCTCCCTGTCACTCCGTCTTTCTATCTCCTCTTTCCCTGTCACTACCTCCCCCTTCTCCCCCTTCTCTCTCTTTTCCTCAGTTCACACGCACCGCTGTGTCGAAACCTCTGGCGGAATTCCTTGCGCGCACACACACTTTCAAGTATATGTGTGACTGTCGCTTTTGTATGTATCAGGTCGCGAGGCCCTTTCGTGGTCGTCTGCCTATGAAAGAAATGATGTAAGGTGAAGCACTGCATACATTGTATAGATAGCACTGCTGCTTTGTGCCGGTAAATCTTAACTGAATGACGACAAGTTCCGTAGTTGACCGCCAGATCAAATCGGTTCAAAATTGCACCTTGTATGTACACTCCGTTGTTTCGCCCACTCGTTACTAATTATTTCACAACAGGAGGACACGTACAATGTTCTGGTGGCTGTTTGAGGTCCATGGAAACTTGAAACTTTTACCCTTTGGTGGTGCAGTCGAGCCCCGCACACCGGCGGCGGCGCGCACACCAGACATCACTCACGCCACACACCCCTACCCACATCATTCACTACCTATTCTCACGATAGATACATGTCGTCCTGCATGTGGGACGGGTTTCCGGGGGAGGTTGAGCAAACAAATCCCCAACATCATCCATGATGTAAGGAACCGAAACTCGTCCACGAAGGGGGGAACGGGGAGGAGGAAGAGCAGCAGCACAACCGACGAGCATGAGGACGAGGAGGAGGACTCGGCGCAAGCCGGGGCGTCATGGACCATCTACGATAAGAGCTCTACACGGATGATTGCGATTTCCTCCGTACAAATGGACCAGCCTGTCGCGGCCGCAATCTTAGCGATCGTCCCCTGCTTATAACTCAAGGGATGCCGTCGATAAAAACTATCAACTATCTCCAGGACTACAGTGGTTCCATCAAGTACTGCGACCTCTGCCTGAAAGAGTTGACCCACGTGCCGTCGATTGGAACGCGCACTGACGAGAAGGACACCAACGGAAAACAAGGTGTGCGAAATTTCAGCAAGCAGACGCTGTGCGTTTTTACGGCTGGTAACGACAGCGTCTACTCGCTGTAAAAACGCACAGCGTCTGCTTGCTGAAATTTCGCACACCTTGTTTTCCGTTGGTGTCCTTCTCGTCAGTGCGCGTTCCAATCGACGGCACGTGGGTCAACTCTTTCAGGCAGAGGTCGCAGTACTTGATGGAACCACTGTAGTCCTGGAGATAGTTGATAGTTGAGGGTCACGTTGCAGGTCTTCTTGTCCTTCAAGTCGTTGTGATCGCAGATCACGTACTCCCTCCCGTCCTTACGGATGGTCACCTTGAGACGCCCGTCCGGGCAGTTGTCCGTATCGATGCAGTGCCACGAGGGATTGCCGCCTTCGATCACAAACTCACGCTTCGCAGACGACTGGTTTGATGCTCTCTGGCGCTTGAGTGGCGACGCCTGAGATAACGACTGCATCGTGTGCTCTTCGAATTTGTTCGGGTGGGCTCCAGTGGAAATGAGCAGCGGGGGCAGCTCGCAAGCAATAATGCGCGCTCGGAGGCGTGTAACCGCCTCGTCGGCCCGACTGTGAGCTGATGAATTTCGCCGCATTTTTTTTGCTTTATTTTCTCGACTATGGAGGCAACTATACGTGCAACGATATCATACGTGCAACAACAACATCACAAACACCAGCAACAGATAACAGCCGCGTAGATAGTTATTTGCTTCCGTAGAAGTCTGAATGCACTCAGTGGAACTGATCACCTAGAGCAGTGACGAGCACGACCACAGCGTGCGCGCGCGCCAGCATGTAACCGTATTTTCCGAGATCGGGCCGACTTTTTTATTTTTTCGCTGAGATCCACCGCTTGTTTTCTGCTTTTCCTTAGCCACATATGTGACAACAGATAAATAAGAAAGAGAGCGCCTTGACTACAACAAACCTTTAACGTCACACAAACCGATCATGCATATAGCATGAAGATACCTTGGACTATAGAGAGCGACGCACTGAGGTACTGCTTGCCATCAAAAACGTCCGCTCGGTAAAATTGCCGCCAAAATATTGATTGATTGAATTGACAACTCCATTCTGTTATGCAGACGTTTAAGTTAACGCTCTGTGGTTGGCCAACTAAGTGGCTCCGCGCGTCGCGCAGCGGAAAGAGCTGAAAATTTGGTGGGAGATC